AACCTATTGAGTCAGCTACAATACATTCCAATGGAGGATACATTGTATCGTTTAACGATGTTTCCTATGGGTTTTTTCGCTTAAGGACGGCAATCCGTGCCTATTGGAACGGATTAACCGGTTTCCAATGCATCTCTATGGGAAATGGTGTTTCGCATAAAGTTTTTTTCACATAAGGTTTTTTTTTTGGAACCAATTAAAAACGTTATGCGAGGCACCACTGTACTTATTGAATACGCACATATTCAACAAAGGAAAAATGTTTCTGCTGTTTACAAAATAGTGCAAAAAGAAGTGTGAAAACATCCTGATTTTCCCTACTTCAGTTGCAGAACATAAAAAGGTACACACTTTAAATCCAGAAAGAGGAAGAAAACACTAATATATATTTGTAAATCCTACAACTATAAGTGACATATGGTAACTGTGATATGAATCCATTCTTCCAGTATGGAATTATATTGCCTCACACGGAAATGTTTTTTAACAACTGAATCAAAAGTTGCCACTAACTTGCACATCTCCAATGGAATTGAATATATTTTAGACACCATACAATACCTTTTTTTGGATAAATCTTGTCTGAGCCTAATTTTGTTTTGGAACAATCTAGTCACTGCCTTTCACACTACTGACTGCATCATGGAACTACTTCTTCCAGCCAAATGTCATCAAAATAGCTTGTGATCAAAGCCTTTTTATTTATTTGCAAATAAATAACAGCTCCTCTTCATGAATAAAAACTGGGCACGTTGTTCAAATGGTTGAAATGCTTAGTCATAACATTGTTCTTCTAGAAAGGTATGGAGGTGGAAAGTGTTGCATTAGATTACCTTCTTACTCATGTTCACAGATCCTTACTAAAACACCTAACATTTTCTCCACCAATATGTACATCTACACATGTAGGACCCATAATAGTCTGGTCTCTATCTCTATTTTATGTGGAATACAGTATTTATAAAGAGCTGCCATCACTACATAATTAAACCCAAGCCTTTAACAGCAATAATGAAATACAAATATCTACCTCTCTCTCATTTCTCAGGTAAGTTCTTCCAAAATTAATTGCATAAACAACCTGTAAGGTAAATGGGAAGTGAGGGTTCATTTGGATACTCTGACCTTTCTCGTATTAATCTGGTATCAATTGCTTTCACTGTCACTTCAATTCACCTTTAAAAGCATAATAGCTGAGAAAAATCATGTTTCTTACAATGTTTGACTAACTAGGGCCAAGATCCAAATACAGTGGTGCCTCGCTTAGTGAATGCCTCGTTTAACGATGTATTTGCTTAGCGATGAGGTTTTTGGAGCGATTTTCCTATGGGGAAAATTCACATAGCGATGTTCGGGACCTTGCCTCGCTTAGCGATGAGTTTTAGGTCCCCTGTTTTGCTTAGCGATGTTCCATTTTCGCTATTTTTAAAGTGCCTTAAAAGGTTCAAAAATGGTTTTAAATGCTTGGGATCGTTAGTGCACCTTCTAAAATGCCTGCAAACTTAATTTGGCTTTGTTCTGACTCTTTGTTAATTTTTGGTGAATTTTCCCCCCATTGAAATGCATTGAACCTAAGTTTGACAGCCGTCAAACCTGCAGTTCAATGCTTTCCAATGGGGGGGGGGATTCACCAAAAATTAACAAAGAGGCAGAACAAAGCCAAATTAAGTTTGCCTACGTTTTAGAAAGTGCATTAATGATCCCAAGCATTTAAACCGTTTTTGAACCTTTTAAGACACACTTAAAATCGCAAAAACGGACATCGCAAAACCATTGGAATGCATTGAATAGGCTTCAATGCATTCCAATGGGGGATACATTGTTTCGCTTAGCGATGTTTCCTATGGCCATTTTCGCTTGAGGTCAGTAATCCGTTCCCATTGGAACGGATTAACCAGTTTTCAATGCATTCCTATGGGAAATGGTGTTTCGCTTAGCGATGTTTTCCCATAGCAATGTTTTTTTGGAACCAATTAACATCGTTAAGCGAGGCACCACTGTATGTAATTCCGTATCCAGAGCCAATGGATTTCGGATTCTTTCCTCCTGCTGCTTCTGCTCTCTGTGACACCAAATCTACTCCAGAGTTCCCTCCCCTCCTGAGCAGGTTTTTAGGATGCACCAGCAGCTGCAAGCTTCTGATTTTGGTGGATGCAGCAGGATTCTACAGACATATACCGTTGGATCCTGAGCTAGGAGACTGGAGACCACCCATCACACTTGCCTGCTCTTTGCTTCTTCTCCTTTCTTTTCAAGGGTAAGTGTTTTTAACATTGCCTCTCTCCTAAGTCGACTGTAACTGGCTCACCAACATTGCCTCTCTCCTAAGTTGACTGTAACTGGCTCACCAGAAAGTGTACCTGAAAGCAAGTGTTCTACTCTTTCTATATACAACCACGCGTAAACATACACGTACAGACTTACAGTCTGTATCTGTTATGTATGGAGTAGCCTATATACATACACTTTAAATCCTAGTATGCGAGTAACAAAGAAAGAAAAGGGAGAATCTGAGAAGGAAAGAGGCATATGCAAATGCAAAGAGGAAAGCACAGTGACTTCAGGGCACTCCCAATCTCAACTACAAATATAGTGGTGCCCCGCATAGCGAGGTTAATCCATTCCGGATTAACCTTCGCTATGGGAAAACATCGTAAAACGGATCCAAAAAACCCATTGGAACTCATTAAACAAAGTTTAATGCGTTCCAAATGGGCTCAAAACTCTCCGTTCTCCAATGTTTTCCCTTGTTCCGGCAGCCATCTCGGGTGTGCCGGCGGCCATTTTGAGCGTCCCGGCGGCCATTTTGCATGTACCCGCGCCCATTTTTGGTGTTCTGGCAGCCATCTTGGTGTACCGGCGGCCATTTTTGTGTTCTGGTGGCCATCTTGGTTGTACCGGCGGCCATTTTGAGAGTCCCAGCAACCATCTTGGGTGTACCGGCACCCATTTTTTGTGTTCTGGCGGCCATTTTGGAACCGCTGAACAGCTGTTTCCCCATCGTAACGCGAGCATGCCCTCGCATTAGCGATGGGGAAATCCGCATCGCAATGCGGATTCATCGTTCAACGGTGCACTCATTATACGAGGCTCCACTGTATGCAGTTGACAAAAATGTTACATTAAGCCAGTACTTTCATCTACAAAGCTTTAGTACAGTGCTTCCTGTAAAACTTTGGGACACCTTAGTGTAAAGCAGCAGATAAATCATCAAAAGACACTGAAACAGCACCAACACAACTTGTTAAAACAACTGCTTAACATCAGTAGGTAAAAGTCATGTCTTTAAGGAAAGACAATCAGCAGCATTTATCTGTCACAAGAATGTAAAGATCTCAGGACAACATAAAGCATATCACTTGAGTACCCAATATAATGAATTTCCATACTGAAAGGGATAACATTAGAATGCTACATCAAAAGTGGACAGAAAAGCACTGTGAAGTAAAAACAGCAAGCAAAGATTTGTAACAGATCTGATTTGAAAATATTCCAAAAAGTTACTAAAAACAAATGAAACACAGAATGTTTTACCGCACAGCAAGGGGGGGGGGAACAATCATACAGTTAATTTTGGTGTCAACACCCACATATGAATCAATCCCCATCCTACAACATGTACACATAATTTTTGTCTCTTTGATGTGCTGAGAATATACAACCTATTTTGGTCCTCTGTTCTATTTACTTGAGACAACACTTCCACCTCCTTAAGCTGTGTACTGTTGAACACATTCAAATCTGATAGCAGGCCTACCAATAACCAGGTAGCATGATATGCATGTATGCATCTTGTGGGTATGCAATTACATATCAGAATATGCTGGCATTGTTCTGTCAAAGTGCTTTTGAACATCTGCCTTCCATTTCTTTCAAGAAAACCCAAAACATACTAAGGCAAAAAAGCAATTTGGTCCTAATCAGAGCACTTTCCTCTCTTTAATTATGATTCTATTTTGGGTTCCTGGGTAGAGTATATCAGCCAGGACACAAAGAGTGGCTTTAAACATAAACTTCTGTGTCTGGGCATTTCCAGTGGGCTTCTTCCCCCTAAAATACTGGAATAGCAGGAACCATGCCACTATACAGTATCACAAGCTGCTTTTTTAAAAGTCCTGTCTGTTTTATATGTTTGATAAGTGGCACGGTGATCTACTGAATACAACATCCAAGCCTAAAGACCTTTTGCCCTTTTCATGTAGTTTGGAAAAGTTCCTCTTTTTTCTGCACTGCAAAGCCGAGCAATTCTGGGAATATCAGTCCAAAAAGGAACTTCTCCCAGCTGTGGGACGGCTCTGATCGGTACTCTAGAAAACTGACGGGTTTGAACCATCACCTTCTCCACACACCATTTCTATGGAACAAAAGCACTTTCACAGGAGTGCATCTTCTTGATACTACCTGGAACAATTACAGCAGAGCCACAAAATAAAGCTTAGTCTATACCATACATACTGTTTATTATTACTCTGGATATTTTGTACTTGCATTTCATCACAGGCAAAACCTTCCTGAGCTTCAACTATATGATGTTTAATTATGTAAGGGCTCCTACAGAACAACTTAAGTCCTATTTTTGTTGTTGTTTAGTCATTAAGTCATGTCTGACTCTTCGTGACCCCATGGACCATAACACGCCAGGCCCTCCCATCTTCCACTGCCTCCCGGAGTTGGGTCAGTCATGTTGGTAGCTTCGATGACACTGTCCAGCCATCTCATCCTCTGTCGCCCCCTTCTCCTATAGCAATTTAAAAATACTATTTTTAAAAATACTATTAACTAGTTACTATTAACTAGTAAATACTATTCACCAGTTACTATTAACTAGTTACTAATACTATTAACCAGTTACTATTAACTAGTTACTCCTATAGCAATTTTAAAATATTATCTGCTTGGCAATGTTTCTTTAAAAAAATGAAAGAAACCCAAAAACCCAGTCCCCTTTCAAGGGAAGAGCCAACGAAGGGAAAAACAGCAGAGGAACTGGAAGCTGTCAATTACATTTTAAAAGGTATTTTAATTATTCTTTAGCAGAGTAATTATTCTTTAGCAGAGTAATGGCACTTGGTAATTCTGAATATCATGGTCTTTAATTCATCTAAAAATAACCTATTATGTGTCTAGTCATCTCAGTCTTCTTCCCCCACACAATGCATCCAAATTGTTAAACAGCAAGGAAAAGCAACTTACATCTGTTCCTTATATGAGTAACCTGCACATTTCTAGGACAATATACAACAGGGATAAAAAGGCAAAACAGCCTCATTTGATTCTTATATATACACAAAACCATATGAAACATGATGAATATATATATTAGAATAGAAATACAATGATCTTCTATAGCACAGATGTCAAATATTACCCACACACCACTCACATGCATTCAAGATTAGATTCAATGGATGATTTCCCAGATTGGTTAAGCAGGGGGAGAGAAGTCTGTAATCCCCTCCCCCGTTACATTAGCTAGATAAAATAAGCGTAACTGCAATGGATAACCAAAAATATAGGCAGTGAACTGGTATCCTTCCAATAGAGAAGATTGCTTGAAAAACACAAAAACCCCGGGTTTGGGCACTGAGTTAGAGGGAATCCTGATGCCTCATTCTCTGCAGCAACCATTACCTCTGTCCCTGACACTCTGTGCTGGAGAACATGGCTAACTGTAGGTTGCTGAAAATATTCTGTGACCATATATAGTCACAGCACAGCAAGCAGCATAAAACCTTACAATCTATACTTGTTCTTTTGCATTTCAGAGATGACTACCTTACAAAAATAGCTTTATTTTCAAAAGAGCAGCACTGAATAGTAATTTCAGAAAAGTCGGTATGCCCATTTTATGCATCTCAATTATTTTAAACATAATTCATCTTTCAAAGTCCTAGCATATAGGCAGAGCAACCCTGTGTCCTGGTGGGGGAAGACGTGTAACATTAAATATGGCTACAACGCCATGTAAGTGCATTGTAACCTACATTGTCTACAGCACAGCCCACTCTTCTCTGAGGGGGCGTCAACACGAAAACACACATGCCTCAGTTGCTAAACATTAAGCTTTTGAGGGATAAGAGTGGAGGATGGTAGAGATGAAGGATTACTCTCATTTATTTATTTATTTATTACAAAGTGCATTTAAGCCACCAGGAGCAAAGACAGCATTTCCCTTCCTCAGAATTGATTGCACTAACTCAGAGGTCCAAAGTCCTACTAGAATCTCTGAGGCACTCCTGGTTCCAAGAGACACAAAAAAGAAATCACAATCCAGTAGTCTTTGCAGAAACTGTAGACTGAGAAAACTAACCCGTTTCTATTTCTTGAAGAAAAAGAAAGAAAGCAAAAGCTTCATTTCCATAGGGATCACATTCACCATTTCCTCTGATCTTCTCAAGACTCACAGTGTTGAAATGGGACTGGATCATCCTACAATGGATTGCACATCACCCAAGGAGAAAGGAAGGCATGGAAAAGGCATAAAAGTACATTTTATAACTGCATCACCACTACATTTACTGGGGTGGGGGGGGAGGGAAAGGAAGGAATATAACACGAGGTTTTATTGCTGTTTCAGTACAAAATATAGTATGATATCTAAAATGAATCGAATGAGCTCACAAAAGCCAGGATTTTCACACTACAGGATGATGGCCTGCAGGTTCTGCTCAAAGAGAGACTGGGTATAAGGGAAAAGTATAGGAAGGACAATGAGGTTAAACCTGGGATATCAGTTGCATATTGAAACTTGGAGATCGGGACTGCTTGGTCAGAGGAGCTCCTGGCGAGAGGCCATCTTTCCCATTTCCAGCTTGGCCTAAGCGGTCCTCCTGCAGACTGATGGTTGAAAATCGATTGGTGTTGCCGGCAGCTAAGTTAGTAACACCATCCCCGCCCATGCCAACCCTGGAACCAGCCTGACTGCCATTCACATAGTCAAATGATTTACTGGAAGAAGCACTAGCAGTCCGGATCAGGCTCACGCTACTGGCTTTTGGCACCACCTGCCCAGCAGGCAGGCTCAAGTGTTTCTTTGTTGGGGTCATTTCAGCCGGGTCTGTACTGAGATCAATCGACTGGTGCATGTACTGCTTACGGGCAGATTCTCGAGGGCTCTCCATGGATTTGGTAGCTGAAGCAATCTCTTTATCCTTGACTGAACGCCCACTTGCTCCTTTCCTTAAGCTTCCTCTTTGGGATGCGGATAAAGGTTTGGACCCAACCGGTTGGCTGCTCAGGGATGCCCCGGATGAAAATCCTTCATCAGCATCATTAAGGTTCACAGATTCTTCTCTTCCATTCACACCCTCAGCATCTGCAAATTAAAGATGGAAGACTGAGAAACTAAAGCATCACGGTGCAGATTTTCAATGTTTTTACGGCAATGCTTTTGAAAAACAAAATACTGTTTACTCATCATTCTATAAACTTATCTGTGGGCCACAGTGTTTTTATTCAGCCAAAACTGCTTTCCAGTGCAATTCTCAGGAGAAATAAGTTCCTCTGAGTTTAATGGAATGTATTTTCTAGTGCACATGCTCAGGATTACATTCACAATAACTTCTTTGGCAGAACTCTATGGGGTGTGTTTACTAGAATAATTTACTTAGTAGAATAATTTACTTTTTATCAACACAAATGCTTAATTTACTATTTATTGCTTCTTTTTAAAAACTAGCTGGGTCCAGCCGTGTTGTATTAAACTTTTCTGGAAAGTCCCAAAAGACAGACTATAATAGTAAAGCTGCATAAAGGTGTAGTCTTTACTGAACCCTTACACTTACTAAGATATACCACTGGGCACAAACTTCTGAGTAAATATGTTTATGATTGGTTACTTTCCTACAAGCTTTATTGGAATTACTCTTCTTCACATTCTTAATACTGAATGCCAAGCTAGACATGAACATAAATGTGTTGCTTCATTGGAATATTTGCAGATGAGACCAATAAGGAGTGGGTCATTTCTGGCCTATTGGAAGAATTATTGTGGGATTAACAAAAGTATCAAAATATTCTTTCTGTTTTGCTATATTAATACAACTCCATCTTGTAGGGCTGAAGTGCCTCTTCAACCAGTATAATTTTGAAACTAGTATTTGAAACATGAAAATAGATAATCAGCTTAAGAACAAAAACTAATACCATGAGATTCCAAGGACACTTTTGACCGTTTTCCCTTTTCCTTCTCAAAACTGGTTACATGGTGCCATTCCTCCCCTGCCATAATCCAAGATACAAGAGTAACACAGGGTGGCCTCTCACACTGACACACCTGCCATGGGAGATACAGTGGGGTCTCTACTTAAGAACGTCCCTACTTAAGAACAATTCCACTTAAGAACAGCTCCATTTGCTAAATTTTGCTTCTACTTGAGAACAAAAATCCAGATAAGAACAGGAAAAAAAAACTTTCCTGCTCTTTTTTTAACCTTAGGTCATCTTAGGTTAAAAAAAAGTTCTCCCCCTAGTGGTAGAGTACGTATTAACCAGCTTTGCATTAGTTCCTATGGGAACTAATGCTTCAACGTACGAACGCACATCTACATAAAAAAAACAGCCAGAACGGATTAATTGGTTTTCAGTCCATTGCTTCAAAATTAGCTTCGTCAGAAGTGCTTTTAACACTGTTCCCTGACCTAAGGGGAAAAAAAGAAAAAAATCCCCCTCTAGTAGTAGAAGGCGGAATAGCAGCTTCCCATTAGTTTCTATGGACGGAAAAGAGCAGATACGGATTAAATGGTTTTCAATGCATTCCTATGGGAAATGCAGATTCTACATAAGAACTTTTCCACTTGAGAACCACCTTCCAATACGGATTAAGTTCTTAAGTAGAGACCCCACTGTACCTTGTGAAATGTTTCCATGTAGCTATGGTGAAATGCTGGGCCAGTCCCTTTTGAAAGGTACTAAATTCACTACACAGACAACCACCACGCTAACATCACAAATATTGAAAACATGCAGGGCAGGGACAAAGTCTCTGAGTTTTTAACCATGTGCTAGGTGATAGGTTTTCCATTCTCTGAATTAGCACCAAATATAAGAATTTCCAGCACCAACTCCAAGCCAGATTTAAACAAGAGGACTGGCACCTTGGAGAAGTATTCCTGTGTCACTATATTGCAGCCCTCAATTTGGCATCATATGTAAGCTTATCAACCTGCTATTGTCCAACTGAGTATGTAGAATTCTCTGTTTTAACTCAATCCATGCCCGTGCCGAATAGCTCAGTGGTTTAGGTATTTGGTGGCAGAGCTAGAGGTTGGGAGTTTCCTTGATAGGGGGTGGATTCAGTAATCCATATGGTCCATTCCAGTTCTGCAGTTCTGTTATTATTGTTGTTGTTAGGGATATGGTTATGGAACTCCCTATTTTGTCAAGTGATTTCTGATTAAACATAACTTTTCATTTGTCTTCTCTTTCCTCAAAAGTCTCTTCAGAAACGTAATTAAACTGACAGATATTACCATTGAGAAATAATTTAATAAGTGTGGAGAAAACAGTATTTTGCAAAATAGAAGAATATTTCTTATTTTTCTATACAATAATGTTTTGCCCACTTCATCTTTTTCTACTTTTAACAAAACAAATAAAAGACAACCGTTTTGTGTACCTTGCACTTTCAGACAATGATTCCCAATAAACCAGGCATTTAAAGAGAAAGCCATTCTACACATTGTATATTTCACACACACCCAAAAAGGAAAAAGCCATTTCATACGTACCTTGGACAGAATGCTCTGGAAACAAAAGGACCTTTTTATCAGACACAGCATTCACATTATTTTATAAGATCATCATGCAAAACCAGATGATAATGTGTTTAAGTTGAACAACAGCTACTGCCATCATCACCACCTCTCTCAACCCTTTCAGATTCTAATGGATAGCTCACAATTTGCACGGAGAGGCCTATGACTTACAAGGCCAAAGTGTTCCATTTGTACAACTGAAATCTCATGACTGTTTAGGAAAAGCACTGAAAATAAGATAGCAGACCTGAATCAATATTTGACAGAGCAACAATGCAGAAAGGAATAAGAGAGGCTTGGTGTGAACCTCCTTGATGCCGCCACCATGCAAAGGCTCAAGCAGCTCCGCAGTGCCCAAAGGTGAAAGACAGATAAGACCACATGCAGGATAGTACCTTTCAAGCCAGATCCCAGACACTCCAGTAAGGTTTGAACAATGTGCTTACCTAATTGCTCTTTAAAATACTCAAACTGTGCTTTACAAATATGCACTTGATTTAATCTGAGGTCTCCACTGAAATAAGTCATTCAGGGAAAATGGACAGTGCTCTTCTCCCACAAAAAAAGTGATTTTCTCCTTTACCAAACCCGTATAGGCAAAAAACAAAAACAAAAAAAACCCACTTGTGGTGTAATGATAGAAACAAAAAGCGAAAGTACAGAACTGGTTTTTCCCCCCTGCTGAAATATTTTTAAAGTTATTTTTGGCACTGAGTAACATCAAGTTACCGTATTTTTCGCACTATAAGACGCACTTTCCCCCCACAAAACAGAGGCGTGGAAAGTCTGTGTGTCTTATGGAGCGAAGAAAACAGATTATTTTTTCCTGTTTTCTTCTCCTAAAAATTTGGTGCGTCTTATGGAGAGGTGCGTCTTATGGAGCGAAAAATACGGTATGTCCTGGGTCCAATGACTATGAACTATTATTCACACTCAAAATGAACACACTCCCTTTAATGTACACATCCCTCCTTACAGACCTTTTGTAATTCACTGGGTTTATATCCCACCTCACCCTTGCAAAATAAGACACCCAGACTGATGCCAATTGACAAATTATTTCAACTAAAAAGTATTACGCTTCAAGATTCAAAGCATAAAACCTGGAACATAAGAAATCAAGTGTAGCCGAGAAAAAACATTTTGGCTCAGATACTAATTAAAAGTATTTGTTAACTCAGTTCTCCACAACACCTCTAATATAATAACCAAACCCAGAGCACATTATGTTTTTTGTAACCAACACTAATCTCTCCTTATCTTAGACCACCAATGGGGAAAAGACAGTATTGCTTAATTGAAACAAAAGCAACCTGTAACATTTGGATTTAGAAATAAAAGCCAGAATTCTTCCCTTGATTAGTCCAGCTTCCAAAATGGGATGATGCACACTGCAAACAAAAATTATATGGCACAACATTTCAAGTTATCACTCTGTTAAAATAACCAAACTGTTAAAAAAGAGGGAGTGCTAGAGCACCCAAGCAACCATTTTTCAAAAGGAAGTTCTCAGCGTGTGAGGGATTTTTCAGCCTCCTTCTGGTCATGCACATGCAACGTTCAGTTAGTGAAACAAAACAGACCAGTTGGGAAAAAATGGAGAAAAGGTGTAGTGGGACCTCACTTACTGAGCATGCTCAAACTCACTGCACCAGGAGCAAATTATGAAAGCTTAAGGACTCTATAATTTTCCATTTAACTTTTTAGTCTTTTTATCATTACAAAATGTTTGTTGTGTAACAAAATATGAACTCTTCAGATTTTTTATATTAATCTTCTTTCATGGAATTGTGAAACATGGGCAGGAGGTAATCTACAAAGACTACATCAGCAATGCCAAAATAATGCACTCAAGAAGAGAAAGAGGGCATTATAGAAAGAGATTACAAAATGTGAGGAATTGTGAACAAGCCAACATTGTATGGCAAGTCAAACATCCCTACATCAACACTAAAGTCACTGTGGACTGATTACAGGCACCACAAAGAAGGAGAGAACCTCTTAGTAAAGAGGGCTGGTTGGCAAATCACTTGAATGAAAAGAAACTAATTGCTGTATAAGGCTATAAGACCATCTCCCTCCAAGAATGGACTGCGTCTATGAATGCAACCTAGTTTGAGACATTGCTTCATAATAATGAGAAACATGCCAACTTAGTTTAGGTTTAGGAAATAGTTGGCCCAGTCACAGTAGTCTCATGACCAGGAGATCAAATACTTAGATGAACAGAAACCTGAGTGAACCGGAAGTTCAAATAATAAAGTAAAATTTGAAAATTATTCAACAAGAACACCTTCAACACTCTCTTAAGCATACTTTCCATTAAAAAAATAATTCTACACCCTACAGAGAGTCTAGATTTCCAAAATGATCTCAACATGTTTATCTGGTGCATTTTCTCTCTTTTTAAAAGAGTCAACATGCTCAGTAATAGTATGTTTCCAAGCAATCCCCAAGTTACTGGGTGTGGCTCTTTGCCTTATTTTAGCCATGCCAAGCTAAGGTGTCCCATTGTGAGAATCAGCTCTCACAATATTAGAAAAGGTAGCTCCAGATCTGGTGCTAGGCATGAAGAGGATATGCATATTAAAAAGAAAAGGAGGGGGAGTACACCCTGGGATAGTGAAAGCACGTGCTAGAAAGGAAAGGGATTCTGCTTGGGCATAAGGAACCAGGGACCTCCCCCAGCAACTGCCTCACTACCTCCTGCTTCCTCATCTCTGTCCTACCCTCTGTTGTGGCTGTAGCCAAGTTGGGCTCCGGTGAGCCATGCTCAGGGGTCCTGAGCACCAGCACGTCCCCCTCTTGCTTGCGTTTGATCCCTAGGTCTGTGGAGCCGTGTAGGATCGGAGATCCGGGAATGCTCAAGTCAGCATCATTTGAGAAGTCAAAGCCATCTGGGATTCAACATACAATATTTTAGTGCTTTTCTACTCTTTCCCTAAGCATTCCGACCCAGGCAGGGAAATGAAGGTTTACATGGAACACACAAGAACACTCTCAAAACAGAGGGTTCAGTGAACACCATATAACATAGATATGCTGTACTATAAACAAGAGACAAGCGTACAGCATGTCAATAATATCAATAGTAAGGACTCACATGACCAAAGATTTGTAAAATGGTTATACTTGGTTTTAGAGTCAGCAGGAGAGTAGTTTCATTTTAGAACTTGATTTTATGCACATCCCCTTCCAAACAAATGCAGCAAACAAAGCCTGAAACACCACACTACTAGTAAGACATTTAGCACCCACCCCAAAGGAGTGTTGCCACATCAAGATTAATAAGCTATCAATTTCATATTGAGTCTTGTGACACAGTGGTTAAACTGCAGTACTGCAGTGAAGACTTTGCTCGCAACCTGAGTTTGATTCTGGGTTCAGGTAGATAGCTTGAGGTTGACTCAACTTTCCATTCTTCCAAGGTAGGTAAATTGAGAACCCAGCTTGCTGGGGTGGGTGGGTGAATGTGCAGTCTACATAATTAAATTGTGAACCACCCAGACAGCGTTTTAAGCACTATTAAGAGGTATATAAGCAGCACACTTCGTCTCCCCCCCCCTTTATTTTGCAAGTGAGAGTGACTCTCAACTGTTTTTGGAACCAAATTTTAGTCAGGAAGTTATTCATTATGGTGAATGTTTCCAAATTAGCTTGATACATATCACAGTTACAATCACCATTATGATTTTAAGAACAGGGCCTCAAAATATAGTTCCAGGGGATAATTTAAATTATATGTACCTGGCTTAAAACAAATATTAAAAGTTTTTGAAAGACGTAAAGTGCCAGTTACCAACTTAGTTAATGAAAATTAAAATATAGTGTTTTCTAGGTACAAATTCATCTGCCTCTATATTGTCCTTGTATAACATTTCAAACTGCAAAATAAAATAAACTCTAAATGACTTTTTTGGATGTAAAATACTTTGAAAAGGTGGGGAAATGTTCAAGGCTTAAAGCTGGGAGATGTTATGTGGTTGCAGTTGCCTGTAAACCTTAAAGGATTCAGACAATTTAAAAGTAGAAAGGCAACTTGATCTAGCCTATAAAATATGGAAAAGAATTTCACCAATTCATAACTTCCAGCTTTGTAACAAACTTCCAAAATCACAGGATATCATTTAAAAAACTTAAAACTTTTTCTAGATTTTTGGCAACATAAAGATTATACTTACCTCCCCATAGGATGTAATCTTAAATCATACATTCATGCATATAATGTATGAAAAACAATTTGCACCACTTATATATTACAAAAACTGGCATTTTGTACTACAGAAACCAATTGTAGCAATGGAGATGGGTAATGCTATTCTACACTAACCACTTTGCACCAGGAACGCTTACCTTCTCTTCTCCAGCGATGTCGGCGGATTGAAGCCGTTGTAATGGCTGTACGCGAAATTCTCGGCACTGTTGGTGTAACCTCCACTTTCAAAACTTTCTGTCCTCCTTGTGATGCATCCGGAGCATCAAAGGGCAACGAGTTCTTCATGGCATTTGCAACCTAAAACAACAGCAAAATGCTATCTACATCTGTGACAAGGTGTTCTTTTAGCAGCCATTTCTTTTCTACTTGGGCTCCTATGCCCTAATTTATTTTTCTTCCCATAGGGCTCCTAAAGGAAATTAAGAAGTTCCACCAAAGCAAATGGTTGGGTGTCTATGTTCTGTTAATGTACAGGTGGAATGTAATAATGTCCCTGTCCAAATGGACTCTGGTAGTGATGAAAACACAAAACAAGCATGAACAATGCTAAATCAATCAATCAAGCCACTCAGTTAGTTAGTATTCTATTCCTTCTAATTTCCCCTTGAATCTTCCAAATTCTTCTGTCACCTCTACACCACACACAACTCCTCATTTTGTCACTTTTCCAGCCTTCAACCATCACAATAACCACCCCCTTTCTCTAATGGTTACTCCCTTATTTAAAAAGCTCCCACAGCATTCTGAGGGCTGCGAGGAGACCAAGTCCATAAGGGGGAGGATGATACCCATCAAAATACTGTCAACTAGCAAACTGAAGAAAGAATGGAACAAAAAAGGGTGAAGAGCATTATAAATTAAGACTCCAAGCCATAGACCTTTGCTAAATAATTATGAAAGGATCACTGTTAAAACTGACCAGTCCATTTGGGTTCAGACACTGCAGTAATTGAAAATGGAAGTGTAACTTTAGACATCCTTCTCACAGCCATTGGAAATGAGAGGGAGAAACCGATGAGGGCAAGGGCCATTTAAATCATACACAACTGTATTTTCAAACAACGTTTGAACAGTTAAAACACTGATTTAAGAAGCTAAGCACTGCATCCGTCTTTGGGAAAACTGGATGAAAACATCTGTGCTAATTAGAAGACACAGAAGGCCTTAAGGTCACTGCCAGGCAATCCATCATTCTAGGATTCGGTTGGCACTTTGAGACCTATTTAGAAAGAAGCAAACATACACACACATACCCATAAATCAGCAAGGATCTTCAGTCAAATTAATTTTTGATTTGAGCTCATTGTTATCTCTAGTCAGGAGTGAAACCTGAATTAAAATACAAATCCACCTACAACATATCAGTATAGTTGGTCCCAGAGGAATTCAATTTTTCACTGAAATTTTCAAACTAGTAATGCATTCCATCTTTTCCTAAAAGAAATACCCAATCCAATATTTCACCAAGCAAGAAGTATTTCAATTACCCTATTAAAAATGTTCAGGCCAAAATGAAGAGAGCCATTAAACCAAATTTACTGGAAAGACATTTTTCATGTTCACCAAGAAATAGTATTCCTATCTCCCCGCAAAAATTAAAGCTATGCAACACAAACACTGATTTGTATTTAGGATCGTTTCTAGACCCTCCAACAACAATGTGAGACTGTAGCATCAACTTTGTTTCAGAAGCACCACAGGTATTGAAACTCTGCTTCATGCCTTTACACAAATTGGTAACTGGTGAGCCTGGATCAAATCTGCCACCCATCTACAGATAACCTAGAAATGAAAGGCAAATGGAGACGATGGTGTCAGGGGTGAAAGAGCTTCCCAGCAGCCCCTATTTAGGTTAAAGGCTCTAAACTGCATCTCCTTTTCACTTTTTCAAAAACTAGTTACAGTCTCACAGATAACTTTCTTCTTCATGTACGGTCAGTTTTGTTTTGATAATGAGAACTGTACCAGCAGTTTTTACCCCCTCACTCTTCAAATGACATCTTACAGTGAGCTTACACAGACTATTTAGGTCCCCAGGGTCCCATAGATAAGAACCTCGGGCGAGAGGGATTCATTCAAGTAAGGCAACATTACAAGTAACCCAAACTCTACAGTACAGTATTTACCATCACAGTATCTGATCACTTGGAGTTCAATTTCTGCAGCTATTACCAACACAGGTTAATACACTGTTAACCAACTAGAACACCAGGCTAGATTCCAGTAAACTATCAAATTAGAGAATGTAGGCTACTTTGTTAAGAAGCTTAGTTTGTCAGGTGACAGAAAAACCAGAATCATAAGCCAAGAAGAAACCTTGGCTTACAGTTCTAACTAGTTGGCCAACTGACGTGTCAAACTTTCTAGTTTGGACGCCATACTAAACAAATGCCAGATGGACATTTCCTGGCTTTTTAAATTATTCTCACTGGGAGCATCAGTCAAGTGGGAGAGATCAAACAACATGCATAAGCAATATGGACTCACTCCTGGTAAGCTGGAATTTATCATTATTAATAATATTATCACTGTATTTTTCCATGTATATGACCCCCATGTATAAGACGACCCCCTAATTTTTACCCTTGCTGAAAGTGGAGGAGCAGTCAATGGGCAGCCGCGATGGGTGGCCCAGTGCAGCTGCTCCTCTGCCTTTGTCTCCCGCTGCCTCCGCCATCTGATCGCCTCCTGCAGTGCGACTGCCGGGGTTTATCTCCAGCTCATGTTGCTGCCTTGTCCCCTGCCTGAAGGAGACAATTGCTGGAGGAGGCAATATGACAGCGGTGGCAGTCAATGAGCAACGCAGCTGCTCCTTTGCTTCAGTCTCCACCTCCTGCTGGTCCAGTAGTTGCCTCCAGTGCCACTTGTGGGCTCAGCAGCAGTGGCACTGGAGGTGGCAATCAGATGGCAGCAGCAGCAGCAGTCAATGGGCAGCCATGAGAAGCGGCTGAGCACGGTTGCTCCTCTGCCTCCATCTCCTGCTGCTGCCTTCTGTGTATAAAACGACCCTCAATTTTTCCTCTAACTATTTTAGGGGAAAGTGTCATTTTATACATGGGAAAATACAGTATTTATTTTAGTTCTTGTTTATCAAGATATCTGAATAGGTCCATCCGCTGCCTCTGCCTAATGATTCTTAGACGTCAATGTCTAAGAACAGGCATGGTTTTTCTCTGCCTCACACACAGAGGATAGAACACTGATACATAACCACATACACTTGTATATCTAAAGGTATCACATGTAGTAGGCATGTATATAATCCATGCAGATCAAGAGACAGTTTTGTTCAACAACACACATATTAATCTGTACTATGCTGCTACACTCTTGCTGACAGAGAAGTGCAGGCAGTAAGTGCACTGGTAGGCAGTCAGCAGGTAAGCATGCTTAAATGAGCCTCAGGAACCATCCTACCTCTTGAGGATACTAACAGCTGATCCTTGCACCCTACATCTTCAGGTCAGGGTGGCTTGTGAAAAAGGAAGTTGGGAGGCTGTGACTTCCAATTTCAAACTCTTCTGCCACTAGGTTCAAGACAGTAAGGAAAAGTCCATGTTCCATCCTTTCATTAAGCTAGCTGTCCAAGCAAAGACAGCGCCAACAAGGGCAAGAGAGCTGAAAGCTGAAGATCTCAGCTGTCACTAACATTATCTTCTCTCTTTTCCAATTCTTCCCTCAACTGACCAACATCCTGGCCAACCCTGGCACACAGCTGATCTACGGTCTGGACCACAGTTTATCACAGGATTGTGTGACAGTACTACAGACGATAAAATTAAATTTTAAATTAAGTTAGAGAGGGATTTGTACTGCCACACAAACCATTTAGAAATAACTCATTAATATTAGTAATGTATACTCCTTTTAATCACATCAATTGATTGAAGCATTCCCCCTCTTACCAACAGTGGCTGAGAATACAGTTCAAGCTGTGCTCTATAAATTATGTCATTGAGTGCTTCCTGGCCAAGCTCCCACTGTCCATTGTAACTGCATGTGGACAAAGAAAGAAATCATTACTTTTATGAACGTAAGCTTTGTCCTTCCACACTTTCACTTATTTGCCAAAGACAGTTTCCCAATACACCCTTTCCCCCGCTTTTGCTACCACCTTCAACAATCAAGTTACTCTGAAAAGCAACCATCCATCTCAGCTGCACACTGTCTGAACTTCTTCTAATTAGGATAGTAGCATTAGTAACATAATCTAGTAAAAGGCTTCTAGAACAAAAACATTTACATTATCAGATTATTTACCAAAGCAGTACATCACACAAATACTATACTCACAAAGAACAATGGAAAACTGTGTGTTAAGTACTCCAGCAGAGGGTTATTCTGGTAGACACATCTCTTTTTGTTTTTACACATAAACAGACACACAATTTATGTGTACTCACATGTGTATAGTTACGTGTAGGAGTATATAACTTTCATGTTTAAAGGTATGCTGATGTGGTACGTCTAAAACAAGCCAGAAGTGCAAAACTTCAGGGTCTAATGTTGGTAGCCTGATAAGCTAACATTGGCTGATAATGTATTAACAAAATGCTAGCTAACTGAAATGGCAGATCACAGGAAAAACTAGATAATAAAAAAGGGGCCAGTGTCCAATGCCTCAGAAGCCAGGTGATACAAGAAGAACCATATTTAATTCAGCCAAATACAGGTTTCTTGCCCAAACTCTGGATACTTACACAGCATAATAGACTCCAGTGAGCAGCTGTACCATAAAGTCAGGATCCAGTACCACCCTGCCATAATCTTCCTTCCAGGGTTTTTCATGCTGCCGTGGAAACCCACACACAGAGAGCCTGGAATAACATACAGTAATAGTGCTTATAAAAATTAAACCACAAAATTTGTGTGGTCTGACAAACATTTTGAGTAAACTAGTAACCCTTTCATCAGTTATAGACTGGGTTAGTTCCAGAATTTGTCGTACTTGAAGGAGGACCTCTGAAATCAATGGGACAAGTCACATTAATTTAAGCCCCACTACGCTCAACTCATTGTGTTTAAACCAGTATATAGGCTCCAAAACAAGTTACCTGAAAATTTTGCTCTCTCTAGAAAAGGATATCTATGGGAAAGAAACAGTCGAAAGAGTCCATAAACATCTCTTGCAAACCAGATGCCAGAAAAACCAATGTACCTTTGTCCAGTTACCTCTTTCTGGGAGATACCCTAATGCAGGTTCCTCACAATTTCTCAACACTCCCTTGTTCTGATCAATACAAACTAGAAATGTGGCTTTGCTGTAACTCAGTAATTACTGGTGGCCATAGGACAGGTAAATGTGAATAAGCCCAGCAAGTGGAATTTGTGATCTAGCCCAAAGCAAAAACATGCTTAGACTGATTAAGATGATCCTTTTAAAAGCAGTAGCCCTCTTGCCAAAAGGATAATGAACAGACAAGGACCTGAGCTCTGAGAAAGCACACTGTGGAGCCTACCTAAATGAACCTTCCTCCAAAAGGGCTCTCAGGAGCATGAAGGATGGGTGCTTAGTTTTGACAAAAAGGATCAGAAGAGAAATGGAAACTGGGATTCCAGAGACAGCTTTTCTCTAAGCCCAATGGCACAACTGATTTTCACAAGGATTTATTGTATACAGTACTATAAAGGCATGGATTTAGTATGTGCATGCTATGCACACTGCAAAATTCTGTTGGTAGAAGGCATTATGGAGAAACATACCCTGTTTTTCCGAAAATAAAACCTGAAAATAAGCCCTAGTATGATTTTTCAGGATGCTCGTAATGTAAGCCCTACCCCAAAAATCAGCCCTAGTTAAGTGAAACCCCGCCCTCCACTATTATGCAGCAACCAGAAGAAGATGACATCACTGCATTTGAATAAATGTAGATCGTTGTACATGGAAAAAAATATATCCCCTGAAAATAAGCCCTAATACGTTTTTGGAGCAAAACTTATATTTGGGGAAACATGGTACTATCATATGTGATAGACATGTGAAGAGAGACGGAAGGAATGGATGATTATATTTAATGAGATTTTAAAAATTCTAGAAACAAGTATACACAGATGTCCGATGTTAGCACTGTTAAATATATTTGGATACTGTCAATTAGATAGGTGGAAATGGAACTGTTATTATGTTAACAGCAGCTAGATCTATATTTGCAAAGAATTGGAAAAATAATAATCAACTGATGTTGGAAGAATGGTATAATGATATGTGGAATCTAGCAATTAACGATAAATTATGGAGAAACATACCCTGTTTTTCTGAAAATAAAACCTGAAAATAAGCCCTAGTATGATTTTTCAGGATGCTTGTAATATAAGCCCTACTGCAAAAATAAGCCCTTGTTCAGTGAAACCCCGCCCTCCACTATTATGCAGCAACCGGAAGAAGATGACATCACTGTATTTGAATAAACGTAGATCGTTGTACACGGAAAACTAAAAAAGGATTATTGAAAGAAAATAGTTTTAATGGGATCTAGAACCCTTATATAGAATACGTATTTACAAAACATAAAAGTTATACCCCAATACAAGAATAATTATATTTTTGGAAAGAGACAGGGCACATTATATAAATTAGGATGAAACATATATAAATGTATATTCCCGATGGTGGTGGGTTACACTGTATTTTTGAGTTACTGTATAATTCTATTTGTCATTAGCTACCGTATTTTTCGCTCCATAAGACGCACCTCTCCATAAGACGCACCAAATTTTTAGGCAAAGAAAACAGGAAAAAATAATCTGGAAATTTCGCTCCATAAGATGCATATACTTTTTCCCCAATGTTTTTTTGGAAAAAAGTGTGTCTTATGGTGCGAAAAATACGGTAACTTTGTGTCTGTACTAGTCCTAGGTTTCCACCCAGCATGTAGATCTGCTGTTTGAGAAATGTTTGGGGGCACAGGATTAGTTGAGTCTTCGTTAATTTTTGGTGATTTTTTGTTTTTTCCCTCATTGAAATGGAACATTTCGACTTATGAACAGTTCCGGTCGCAACATTTTGCTTCGACTTGCGAACGGAGCTTCCACTTACAAAGAGAAAAAAGGCAGGGGAAAAAGGGGGCAATTCAGATTTTGAATTGTAGGTGGCGACAAGGCTGCTTTGTACTGTAGCTCTTGGGAGAGCCTCCTTCTGCTACAGGGAGGTAAGCTGCTGTTTTCTCCTTTTAAAAACTGTTTGGGTGGGTTTTGGCTGGAGCAGGTATCTTTCTGTGCTGTATGGGTGGTGGCTTTGCTGTTTATTTTTGAAGGTTTTTCTTCTTCTTCTTAAACCTCAGCAAAGGAGCACCTTCCGACTGGGCTTGCTGTATTCTTTTTATTTTTTTGGTGATTTTCTTCTCCAGCCGGAACGGATTAATCGGTTTTCAATGCATTCCTATGGGAAATGGTGCTTTGACTTACGAACATTTCGACTTAGGAACACCATTCCAATACAGATTACATTCGTAAATCAAGGCACCACTGTAGTTCTTTGTTTCTTAGCCCAAATTCCATGGATTCACTATATGAAGAGAACTATATTTTGCATGATTTAATTGAATGGAAAAATTATTTTAGCCCTTAACTACATCTCAGTCGCCCAGAGTAGTCTATGACTAGATGGGCAGGGTATAAGTATAATAAATAAATGAAATAAATTGATTTATTTACTTATTTACTTATTTATTTATTTCATTTCATTTCATTTCTACCCCGCCTATCTGATCGTTGCGACCACTCTAGACGGCTAAATAAATTTAAATAAATAAATCTTGCACCCCCGCCTATCTGGTCATTGCGACCACTCAAGACAGCTAAATAGATAAATCTCGCATATAACAGATTAAATGATCAAAGGAAATAATGGAGACACAGATTGTTAGCTCTCTATGAAGCACAACCCTATATAAAAATGTTAGGGCAAATGTAACAAGCATACGTGAAACAAACCTATTAGCATATTGATAAAACCCCTCTAGTCCAAACAAAACGAAACAGAACAGAACAAAAAACCACTATTCCCAGTGGCACCATAAAACAAACCATCCTCACCTGGAACCCATTCTGCAAAGTGACTGATACGACGAGGCAGGCATATAGACAATAGCAGAGTTGTAACAAAGCATCAGAAAGCTCAGAACCTCAAATCTAAAAAGAAACAAATTGAACAGGGAATTGAAATTGTTAATATTGTACTACAAGGTAATTCTGTTGATGGGCTGATTAAGCAGAGAGAGTATCAAAACATATCTTACTTACTTCATTCTGCTCAGGTTTTGCACAGAGGTGTTACAAGATACAAAAGCATAATTATTTATTTCACTGAAGAAAATGTAAGGTGAAAAAAGGAAATTGATCTCTCTTTACTCCTTTTCATGACAGGACTGGATATCAGATATACTTGACAGTCTATATTCACAGATATATCCAAGATACAAAAAAAATGCCAACTGGGAAGAAAACTCTAACGTATCAAGCAAAGAGTTAAGAACAAAGGAATGCTGTTAGTAACAATAAACAATACAGTATCCACTGATCAGACAATCAAATATTTTCTGTTTTGCTGCATTCTTTCACACTTTGAAACTCTGCCAATGGTGTTTTTTTAAATTCCTTATCACTTAAATATACATTGATAATGTATCCCATGCTCACCTGTTCTGTGCTGTGAATGTTTCTCTTTGAGGGTGGAGGTCACTATAAACCACTCTGATAAGGTCATGCTGACACAAGGCTCCCTCAGTCAAAGCCATGGATCCAATAGTAGATGGCTTAAAGATTACAAAAAAAAAAGGTCAAAATATTGCTTAAACACAGCTTCAAGATACCATGAAAGTGCATGAGATGGGTCTTAAAAGGCTAATGCATAGGATCATCCCTTTTGGAGCACACCAAGATGTTTAACAGGTCCCGAACAGAAGAATTTACAATTCTCTAAGAAATCAAGGACTCAACTTCACTTCTAATCAGAGCTCCTTGGCAATGCAACTGCACTCTTACCTCATGGTAAATTGATGGCTTGGATAGGGAAGGAATAGTAAAAGATAAAACTTTATTGTTCCCGTCTTTGTCAGCAATTTCCTATAATGAAAGGAAACATCTTAGCATATAAAACTACTTTGCATCATACTACCATATTAAATACCACCAGTTCTACTTCTAAAGGCCACCTCTTTTTTGGCTTGGATTTAAACTTCAAACAATCATGATATCGTTCATTTGTCCACAGTAATACGAGAAGAATTTACTGGTGGCAGAGTTTTAAAAAGTACTGCAGGTATAAAAATATTCTAAAAGGACAGGAGTATTGGAAACATGATAAAGGATAAGGAAAGAGGCATTTGCTTCAGGTCCTGAGTTTGTTATCAACTTATAATGACCCTAATATGGTTTTTCAGGAATGCAAGAGGTTCAAGGAGTGGTTTACCATTGCAATGCCTGCCCTCATCAGTTTCCATGGCTGAGTGGGGATTGGAACTGAGATCTCCCAAGTACGCGTTCAACACTTTGCCCACTGCACCACACTGACTCGGAATTATTACCATAATATATGAAGAGGAAAGTACTTCAGCAGTTCCTCCTCCCCATTCTCACTTACCAGATTGTAAATCCCTAGAAGCAGGGCCTCGATGCAACCATTACTTTGCCTATCTTTGCTGGCAGTGAGACGCAGATAAACCCAGACCAGTTCTGGCAAGAACTGCAGTGTAAATCTTTTGAGACGGACCTCAGAACTACGATACAGTTCAAACAGTTGGTGGCAGACAGGTTCCAGAAGCTAGAAAACATGGGGGGAAAAAACCCAGCAAACACACAAAATAACAAAAAATATTATTTCCCATTAATTCATACAATGTATTTACATCAGTTTCTAAAACAGGAAAGGAGCAAAAATTAAACCCTTGAGCCTTGAAACCAGAGGTGGGTCATTTTCAGATGCTGGGCACATAACACTCATCCCTGGACCTTGGACAGTCACACCTGCTTTCAAAACCTCAAACATTTTTCATACAAAAATAGAAGAATTACTGGAAAAGCCTCCATACAGCCACAATAGAGGTCAAATTATTTTTCATTTATTATTTGCTCGCACCTCTCAACATACTTCTGGAGAGGCAATACCAGACAAATAATAGGCTTTTTCAATGGGTGTTGGTTTCAGGCAGCCAGTAAGAATCCTGCATGAACTGCTTGCCCACACAGATAAGGAAACAACAGTGAGAAAGTTCTTTAACTGAAGGTTATTAATACAAATCTTGCTACTCTTTCTAAAAGTGATTTGACCATCTCATACCAACCTCATTATTGGGGTCCTGAATGACCTTGTAAAGAGCTGGCACCAATGTTTTTTTCCGGTGAAGTGTTGCTGCATAACTGGAGATCTGCATTTCAGGTAATGCCTAAAAGAAAAACAACACTCATTCTCAGTACTGAGAGCCATAAGCAGATCTGCCTGACCCAATCTATATCCCCAACAAGCAACTGCAAGGAGGTGCCGGTGGTGGTGCAAAATACCTTCACATCCAGTAGCCACCCAAGGAAGTTGTATAACTTATCTCCCACTTTAAAAAAAACTCTTCTCACCTTGAATTCTGATAGCCATTCTTCTACCACACCACGTTCTGATCCAAGCATCTTCTTGCAACTTCTACTTCTCTTTTACCTTTGGGCAGGAGAAGAAATAATGAAGCACACGATAGCTACAAGGCAAGCTCAGAAGAAGCAGCTCCAATGTTCAATTATGCCATTGTATCTCAGCAGCCCTAATGTTTCTTTTAAACACATCATTTCATTTCTTAAGATGTGTTCATGCTTTTAAACATTGTCGGGTGGAGTGGGTGGGTGTGTGAATGCACCACTGTCTTCAAACTACCAATGCTTGTCCTTGTACCAAATATAGCACAATGAAAGATCAACTAGAAAAAGTCAAAATGCATCATGGAACAAAACCATGTGATGTCCTCTAGTGATAAATCTGGCAATGAAACAAAGAAAAGCAGTTTCAAAAAGCCTCTTGAAGTCAAATAATATTACATTCATTTCCTCTATTTGTTGATGAGAAGTTATGATACTCTCGTTCTGTGAATAACAGGTCTTAAGAGATCTAGAGAAACAGCTTGAACCAGCTTCTAAATTCCTAAATTGAGTTTCATAAGTTTGGATTCTTTCTGCACTAAGCCTTTACTCTGCAAAATTGTTACTGTGCAGCTATTTGATCTTTTGCAGATGATGTCCACTGGACAAAGCTTTTCTGGATCACAACAGATCAAAAACAATAGAACATCTGGAGGAATTTTGCTACTAAATATTTTTCATTATTCATCTTCAAGCCCCAGCCTTTGGAACAAAAGGAAAACCATATGAAATGACAATTTTAGTACAAGCAGAGAATATTCACAATGTCCTCCATCAGACTGCCTTTAATCTCTTGTGTCAATACAAATTAAAATCCCAATACAAGGGATTTTAACTTGTATTGACACAATAAAGCAAAGGCTTTGAGATAACTTATTTCCAATGTCTTTTTACTTCTGTAAATATTACTTCTTTCATTCTCCGAAATCCCTTTTCAGGCAGGGTTCCACCTGAGTAATCTATATACAGCTACATACTGCCTTTATTTAAATACCACTTCATACTTTTCACTCACATTAATCTTTTTCTTTCTTAATTCAGTGGCCAATATGCTAACATTTCTCCATCCGTAAGAGTTTGCATATGTTAACCAGGATGTATTTCTATTGATACCAATGATATCCCACATCGCTATGCGAATTCGTCGTTAAACGGGGGCACTCGTTATACGAGGCACCACTGTATGTGCTTTAATTCTATTCAGATCATGCTGCTTTCTATGTCTAAGATCCTTTGTTTGATCAGACTTTTGGTTTGGTCATAACTCAGAGACATTAGATACTGATGTGAGAATCCGTAGTGCCCCAATTTGTTCTCCAACAGTTCCATCTATGGGGAGACAGAGTTGTCCTTTAATATCAAATTGTTGAGCCCAGAGTTAGTGTGATTCAATTTTAACCAATAGGACAGAACAATTACCCAACATCTAGCCTCTATAGTTACTAGTCCTGTTTCCAGACGAACCATTGCATTTGATGCATTGATTGCCAGCAATAGTATGGCTTTTAAAAATTTAGTTTGAAGTTTGTTTATAAGATTAATTAAAAATGTGAAAGTTAAAATAGATAAAAATAATGCAAATGGTAATATAATTGTGAATAAAATTAAAAAGGAGTGGAACTCAGCACAAACAACGTTCCTCTTCTCAAGCCCAGATATCTTAATTAATTTGTCCAAAATCATTTAAAACAGAAAACACGCCAGACAGAGAAAAGAATAAAATAAGATTGGCAAAACTGATTTTAAGGACTTTGTGGTGTTTTCCTTTATTCAAGCCACCCAGATGGAAATCAACTGGATCATTTTGTCGTATTATTGTGAAGCGGTATGAATGCTTCTAGTTATATGGAAGGTCGATGGCTGGTTCTAGTGGACAGCAGGTAGTCTCCCCTTTTTTGTCTGTGGGGCTTTGCTGCCTTGATTTTTCCACCCTTACGATCCTGTAAGCTTCTTCTCCCTTAAAAGAAGAAGAAAATACCCTCTGCCTGTTATGGAAATACAGTAGACTGAAATACTAGCAATTCAGCTACCCAAATTCTTTATATCCTTTGGCAATTCAACATGCATGTTTGTCACTTGATGGTTGCTGCCTCAAAAGCTGACTTGTAGGCACACAGATGAAAGGTCACAGTTCAAATCACAACGTTGATCACCTCAAGCTCAAAGTCAAATTCAGACACTGAACTGCCAGTCAAAAGATATGAAGAATCAAGTGATACAGATGAATGGACCAACTGGTTATTTTGGAAACAAAGGAAAAGCTTGTAAAAAGAAAAATAAAGAATATCTCCTACATAGCTTCTAAGTAAGCTGCTGATTACTGTGTCCTCATTGTTTCTTTAGCCCTCCTTCACTGATAGGACATCAAATGCAAATGTAATATTCCACCCTACCTGTTTGAATTAGATCTCTAATGGAGTTGGTGGAGGGATGTTGCCATTTTCCAGTTTGGAATACTGTACATCTGCCTGTCCTTCAAGTAATCACCAGTTCTATTTTTTAAAAAACATAAAATAAGTGTTGTTGTTTTTTTAAAAAAAGAATAAAGCAAACTATGTTAAAATATAAAAATATGAATTATTATGAAGTGCTATTAGGAAATACACCTTTACATTTGTTGATTTTTAGTCTCTTAAGAACCAGCCAATGATACTTTGTATAAACTACTTCGGCTGAAAATATAATTTTCAGTAGAATCCACAGACTGAAGCTTGAGCTTGTAAATGCTACTAATGGCCAAAATTTTATTGCATAATGTAGTAAATTAAACAAGAGTAGACCCACTGAATCAATGGGGATTTAGTGAGTCACCTGCTCTGTAAGTTCCATTTATTATGTTAGTTGCACTTAGAGAAGGCTCGTCTGAATTGATGGATCTTATGGAGAAGTTGATTCACTAAATCCCCATTGATTAAATGGGTCTACTATTGTGCAATTTCCTATGCAAGGAAACATGTTTCTGATTAACAACAGTGTATGATTACATATGAACTCTAAACCTTTGGATATCCCAGTCCTGCAAAAAAATCTCTTATTTTCAAATTAGACCATTTAATCTGCACAAGAAAGGGGACTTGTTCCTGAACTGAGCAAGCAGAGGAAATTATTTATATCCCAACTTTCAGTAGAAAACTATGAATGGGATGGGGAAATCTCTCACCTGTCAATGGTACCACAGTCCTCACGAACACTGACATTTAAATTAATTAAAATTTCACAATTAATGTGTTAAAATTATTGTGCAATTTTATGCATGCCACAATTCAGGAGTTTACATTTCATTATCTTATCCCTATAGCTGTGAGAGACAGGCATTCTCTTAAGGAAAAAAGCAGTAAATTACTATTTTTTTTAAGCTCAGGACTATGCATGTTTGCTTAGAAGTAAGCCTCACTGTGTTCTTTAGGCCATACAAATACATATGTATGCACAGGATTACAGACCTTAATGTGTACATCACCTCTGTACAAGTCACTACATATTATGGACAACAGTGTATGATTACATATGAACTCTAAGCCTTTGGATATCCCAGTCCTGCAAAAAACATCTTTTATTTTCTAATTAGACCATTTAATCTGCACAAGAAATGTACAAGTCACTGCAGGGAGGAGGGGTCCTGAAGCCTTCAGGATCCCCCTCCACCCTGTCCCCTTAGCTGGCAGCCACCCCTCGCTGCTCTGTACAAGTCACTACATATTATGGGAGGAAGGCACATATGTTTCTGTACTGCCTCCTGTCTCAATTTACAGAAACTAAGCATTGGTATATAGAAGAAATATATATCTGTCCAGGAATAAACTCAGGAGTGAGTCCTCACGCTTTCAGAATACCGTGCTTTTACTATTATAACTATTCTTGTATATATAGTTATATTGTTGTTTAGTTGTTAAGTCACGTCTGAATCTTTGTGACCCCATGGACCAGAACATTCCAGGCCCTCCTGTCTTCCACTGCCTCTTGGAATTTGGTCAAATTCATGTTGGTAGCTTCGGTGGCACTGTCCAACCATCTCGTCCTCTGTCGTCCCCTTCTCCTCTTGCCGTCACACTTTCCCAACATCAGGATCTTTTCCGGGGAGTCTTCTTTTCTCATGAGATGGCCAAAGTATTGGAGCCAATATTAATATAACACCAAAAAGGTCAAAATCCCGTGCAACTTCCCAAGACCCCCCAATCTATATTGGCCAGAACTGTGCACAAAGTGGAACACAGGGAAGCTGATGGCACTCATAGTCTGCAAAAAGTTAAATATTCTCAAAGGCATCTGCAGACATTCTAATGAGAGTCCAGATGACAAAGATGGTTTAAGTTTATATCTAGAATAATCCTCCAGAATTCTAGGAGCAAGAAATGAAGTAACATTTGATTCTCCATTTTTGAAGATATAAAATCCAGCAGTAAATTCAAAAGTAACTCAATTCTAACTTGATTAGTCTCTCTCTCTCTCTCTCTCACACACACACACACACACACACACAGAGAGAGAGAGAGAGAGAGAGAGAGCCATACTCAGAAGTCAGACAGTCCAATATAATGTAAGTTACATGAAGCTTGAAAATGGCCACACAGCATTGGGTCAAGTCTGCTTTTGACATACTATCCATCCCAAAAGAAATTTTACCCGGATGGGTGTATTTCTGCTTATCTAAGCATCTCCCTCTAAGGAATTCTTGGAATGCTTGATTTCAATTTAGTGAGAAAGTCATTTACTTAAAATGCACCATTTCTCACAAATTTAAATGACTGTGAAATTGTCATTTAAGTACTGTAACTGCCATTTCCCTTGGCTATAATCAGTATATTTCCATATCAAACAGTCTGTTTTTTAAAAACTTCCTTTTAAAAAAATCATCCTTGAATTTCAGAGAATGAAACAAATGTCAGTCAATTTATATTTCCATATCAAACAGTCTGTTTTTTTAAAAAAACTTCCTTTTAAAAAGTTACTTGTAAAAAATCATCCTTGAATCTCAGAGAATGCAACAAATGTCAGTCAACTGCAATTATCTCCTATCTGGAGAATGTACTGTATGAGGACAGCTGGGGCTCTTAGACAATTCAGGAAAGGCCTCCTATTTGAATTCATTTCCATCTGGTCTAAGGCTATGCTTGACACAATAAGGAGTTGCTTAGTCACTGATGGACAACCTGTACTTGTAGAAAAGGATGAGTGCAATCCTGTAAACTCCTCTTGCAGGAGTTCTAATTTCTACTGACCTAGTATCTACTGGATTACAAATTGGGAGCACTGCATCCTCATGTTTGAGGGCCTAATTCCAAAAGATAATAGCACCTGCACAATCCTGTGGCATTCATACTATACTGTAGGTTCTAAAAGAATGATCCCTATACTTCTTAATGATTATATAAATCTATTTACAGAATCAATTTAACAGTGGAAATGAACTTCCCAGAGGTTTCTGAAATCACATGCATGGATTGTGTAATATGTTCCCTCAGAGAAGTAGCTTCATTTGTGTAAGACATAATCCATCATTTCTGCTTACTCACACAACTAGAGAAAGCACAACAATACATAGATCTCTGAATGGATCCAGTTGGAATACAGTGGTGCCTCTCATTACGATGTTAATTCGTTCCAGCGAAATTGCTGTAGAACGAAAACATTGTAAAGCAAAATTTAAAAGCCCATAGAAATGCATTAAAACCTGTTTCATGCGTTCCGATGGGCTTAAAACTCGCCATCCAGTGAAGATCCCCACATAGAAATGCATTAAAACCTGTTTCATGCATTCCGATGGGCTTAAAACTCGCCATCCAGCAAAGATCCCCAATAGGGCGGCCATTTTCACTGCCTGTCTTGTAAGGAATCAGTCCCTAAACATAGCGGGGAGCCATTTTATTTACCCGGCGGCCATTTTGAAACCGCCGATCAGCTGTTGGAAAATTGTCGTTTTGCGAAGAATCGGTTCCCAAAGCAGGGAACCGATCATTGCAAAGCGAAATTCCCCCATAGGAAGCATCGTTCCACAGTCGCAAAAAGTTCATCGTAATGCGATTTCATCGTTAAACGAAGCGATCGTAATGCAAGGCACCGCTGTAATTGTTTTTGGCCTTGTGACAAGGGCCTTCCTTCCATGAATCTAAATATCACTACAAAACCCAGAAAGCAAATCTGGGTTTTGTAGTGAATCTGTGAATGTTGCAGAGACAGCACAATGACATAAGCAAAACCTCACATTAGCAAGTGCAACCAAAACTGTAATGTCCTATTTAAACAAAAGTGGGTAAGAGAGAATACTGTAATTACAAATAAACACAGTGTTATCCAACCTTTTTTTAAAGGCAAAAAACATGTTCTACATGTTTTACTGAGAAACAAGAAATACTAGCTTAGTGACAGAATGCTTCTCAGGCATCTTGACATGCCACAATACAATCAGAACTTAATGGGGGAAAACTCTTCGCTACATACACATGCCACCAAAAGATCAACCTGTCACCGCACTAGAGATCTCTAGCTAATGCTATGAACACCACTCTGTCTAATACCACTTCAATTTCTTTTAGCCCCCATTCAGTCACTAAAGCAGTTTACATAGCAACAGAAACCAAACCTTGACAAACAGAAAGAGTCTAGTTACCAGAAGAATGATATCAGAAGCTATCGTCAGAATTGAATGATTTTTTCAGTTCTTAATCTTAACCAAAATTAACTACAGTGAAAAACAGAAAAAAGCCTCTATAAGTGGTACCTTGCAAGATGAATTTAATTCGTTCTGCAGTTAATGTCGTCTTGCGAAAAATTTGTCTTGCGAAACACGTTTTTCCACAGGAATGCATTAAAATCTAATTAATGTGTTCCTATGGGCAAAAAAGTAAGAACAAAGTCAAATTTGGTTTACAAAGGGTTTATTAAGTGCTCTTTAAAGCCATACACATTGTGCAGATGATTTCAAAAATTTCAATCAAAAAACTAACTTTTTAAACATTATAGAAAAACATTTAAAAATCAGCAAACATGAGGCGGGAACAAAAAAAGGTAAACATTCATCTTGCAAAGCGTGGCCATAGGAACATCTGTCTTGCGAGTCATCGACCCCATCACCAAAACCATTCGTCTTGCGAGTTTTTCATCCTGCGAGGCATTCGTCTTGCTAGACACCACTGTATTAGATATATGTGTCAGCATCATTTTTTGGATTTTAAAGAAACGGACAACGAGTATTTTTCTAGCCACGATCCTTCAATAATTATGTTAACTATTTATGTTAATAAATTCAATGTCTACTATGAGAACTGCTATTCCTGAAACTTATGGAAAAAAACATTAAGAGAAGACATCTTAATAGGACTACAGTTGAAGATTACAACAAAATAATATTTACAGAGGAATTACATAACTTAATGGTGATAAAGAAACCAACATTGTTAAGAGTATTCAGTATGTTGCTTCAGTTATTAATCAAAATAGAAACTGCAACTAAGAAATCAGAAGACCGAAAATGGGAAGGGCAGCTACAGAAGAA